TGTCGTACAGTCTGAATCGACCTTTACGGATATATGTAAATAGACCTCAATACGTATCAATTAGTAGTTGCTTGTTTTAATGTGCTACGAAAACGTTGACACCGCTTAAGATTGAACTATAAACAATAGTTACCGAAAAGCCTGTGCTACGCTCGCCTCGAATGTTATTTTTGGCACCGATGCGCTCAAGTCTCTTAGCTGACAATTAGATTACCAATTTCAATGAAGAAAGACTTCCCGGGGCCAGCAGACACTAAATCGACCTTTTATACTTGCGAGTATTGCGAATAAACGGTATCGATGCATCGTGAATTTTCAAATATTTAGAGATGGACAAAATTCTCAACTAGATAAAAAGTTCCGAATAAGAAACTAAATATTCGCTGCTCGATTAGATCACCAATTTCAATGAAGAAAGGCTTCACGGGTCAGCAGACACTCAATGGACATTTTATACTCGCGAGTATTGCGAATAAACGGTACCGATGCATCGTGAATTTTCAAATATTCGACAAAATTTTTAACTAGATAAAAAATTCCGAATAAGAAATTGAATATTCGCTGCTCAATGAAATACTTCGCACTGAACAAATTCGAATTCAATATCGTCCATCTCCGTTCGATCAGCGTTTCGATAAATATCGATTCAACATGGCCGCTCGAGAGGGAGATGGCGACAACGGCACGATCGAAAGATTTCATCTTCCAAAAATCGATTTGTCAGGTTCCACGCCAATGACATTAACAAAGAAAAAGCAGATGGGGAAGGAGAGAAGAACTATTCTCGTTTCGACTGCTTCTCGTAGTCACATTCCCGTTCGATCGGTTCGCTTTATTCTTCTTCCACGAATCCACTTTCCTCGCGAATACACCTCGCTCGAAGCGACCACGATATCAATATAAAAGAGCACAATCGAAAATAACGTCTGCCCTCTGCTCCCCTAACACAAACGTTCGAATATCTCGTGTTTACGTTGACGCCTAAACCAAGGACGAACGCGTTCCAAGTCGTAAAACCGAGTGCCCTATATTCCAGTATCGTAGGAAGAAAAAGGCGCGATTCGAGGAGTATGGTGGTCGCAAGGACGTCGACTAATCTCTCGTAATATCCCAACTTTACGAACATGGTCGATTACCGATGAACACGGAGTTACGTTTGTTTCCTCTTTAGATACGGATTCGTCGAGAATTCGTTATGTCACTCGCGTATACGTCTGGCAAAGGATCAAAAAGACTCACCGAAACGATGCTCTTCGGTAGCGCGTCCGTGATCGCTGGTCACCGAGTCGTTGGCAGCTCCTCCAATTTGCCCGAGGTCTCGTACCGCGAACAAACGAATAAAACGCACTGTTTAACACGTAACCCGTGAGGATGTAACACACGACGAAGCGAACGTACAACACGGACGTATATGCGGCACGTAATCGCGGGTAGAGGCACGGATAGAGAGACGCGTACCCGTGCCCGTGCGCGCCGAGTTTCAGACTGAGGGATGTTTCGGCGCGGCGCTACACCACCGCCACCCCTCGACCAATCGGCTCACTAGACCCTCGAACCACCGACCCACCGGTTTCGCTGCTTCTGCTATTGTTTCGCGAAGCGATTGGCTCGGTTTACGTTTTTTCAAGCTCGCTTTCAGTCCTATTATTATTCGAGCCTGGTTCCTTCGACCTCGACGGTCATTATACACCGTGAATACTTGTACAAAGATTAATCCGTACTGATTCGAACTAAGGACGACACGTTCGCCATAGTCGATCCGAGAGTATCGAAGTTGCGACTACGCGACGAAACGGGGGGAAATGAAATAATTTAAGTAATGTAAGAGACGAAGCAATGGATATTGAATGTAATTAATCTTAGTCGGCCCCTCTGCGAGGTGTTGTATTTCATTCTGAAATTAAGCACAGTTGGTTTTAGTGTTGGTTACTACGATAAACGTTCGCATAGTAGGATAATCACATAGTAACAACAAGACGATACCTTCCTTATGTGCACGTCCTCGAGCTACGTGGATTCGTAGATACGCGGTCGTCTCCCCACCTATGTCCTTGCAAATACTTTTAAATGCGACTAAACAAAAATTACTCGATATCCGCATCTACTAATACATATTTCGTTGCTCTTAACCCAGGTCTCTGTCTTCTTCCCCGAAATCCATTGTGTTCCTACAATTTCACCATTTCGAATGTATTAATCCTAGTAAATAAAGGACTTATAAATAATGAATTGTTTACGCGTGTGAAAGTGGTAGCAAATCATTCCATAGAGATAATTACCACGCCTCCACTTTGCTTTGCTTACCTACAATTTTACGAAACGTCTAATCGCGCATAATCCCACGATAACGCTGCCGAACGGTAATTGTACAGTATCTACAAAGTTCTCGCATGATTACGTTAGAACCGCTCCGTGTTTTCGATAAGTTGGAAGGATAAATTGCACAAACGTCGCATAAAGTTCATTTCCCGTTAGGAAAGCTTTCGCGAAGAAAGTCCACCGACTATGGGCGCGCTATCCATCTGCGGGATCTTTCTTTTGCTCTTTATATGTGAGTACCGATACTTTCGATGGTACGCGTACGACGAGATCTAGAAGGCAATCTTACCTACCGAATGTGCTTAGCGAGAACGAGCGGATTCGAAATATCTTCGGTGGACCGAATTGTCGATGGAGCACCGATCGACATATCCGAGGTTCCGTACATGGCAAGTATTAATATTCAACTACTTACATCGACGACAGTAATAATAGTATCATCCTTAAGATTGTAAGCTCTGAAAAATTCGGTATTCAAGTGTCGAGTCCAGACAAGTTAATGTTTAATATTTCAAGAGAGCTTGCCTTATATCTTTATAACAATATATTGTAATAATTATTGAGAATAATAACAAAATGTTAAAGCGAAGGAAAACGAAAGTGTATCTTCAGAAATCTCCAATTAATGACGAGCGTCATATATCATAAGGCGATAACGAAGCGATGTAACAATTATCCGTAATACAGCTATCGTACATGGTAAACGGTGATCATGCGTGCGGTGCTGCTATCGTTAACGAAGAATGGGGATTGACGGCTGCTCATTGCGTCGTTCCGTAAGTAACAATCTGTCGTCGTTCAACTGCTGTCGTTGAATTGTTACAAGTTAAAAGCAACGAGGAAACAAGAGAAAACCTGTTATTTCCTCGGTGTTATTCATAGTTGTCCAATTATAAATTTCAACCGAAGTTTCCCTGAAGCGTTTAAATATAATTCGAGCGTTACAGTTTCGTCGGTGAACCCGACGTTGTGATAAACATCCGCAGCGGGTCCAATCACTACGACTCGGATGGTTTCATCCACAATGTGACGTATCTTTCTTATCACGAAAAATACAACGACGGTGACAACGATTACGATATAGCGGTGTTCAAAGTGGACCCGTCGTTCGACTTTAACAACGTTACACGACCGGTAAAGCTACCAGAGGACATGAACCATGTCCATACGAGCTGGGGTTTAGTTGCTGGTTGGGGCTACTTCCTCGTAAGATCGTTCGCCGGAAATCATCTCTCTAAAGGCGACGACTGACTTCCAACAGAACGCTGTAATGTAACTGCTCGGCACGAATTTTACGATTCTACACCAACGTTACATTACAAGGTCCTTTTTGGAATCACGAATGCTCGCTTCGAACTCTCGGCTGAATTCTCTCTCAATGCTTCCTACTCAGTTTAGTGAAAAGTAGACGATCAAAAAGGTTCGTCAAAAAACCGACAGACCAGTGGAGCACGCAAGAGCGCGAACCGAGTGCAAGAACGGCTCGGTTCGTTGCTCGCTAGTCCGCCAAACTGAGCGAATGCTCGCGTTACATTACAATGTTCTGTTGCAAGTCAGTCGCCGGCTTTACAATTAAGCACATTAAATACCAGCGCAAACTTTCAGGACTTCGATCCGGTGCTATCAGAGTCCCTGCAATACGTTATCGTGCCAAAAGTGAGCAAAGAAGAGTGCAGAGAAGATTACAAAGATAGGTTCATAGTTACGGATCATCAAGTTTGCTATGGGTTCCAAGAAGGAGGAAAAGACGCGTGCAAGGTAAAACAACTTTCTCTAGGATTTTAGTCGAGTGCAGTGTATAATACGTATTACTTGGTAACATAGGGCGACTCGGGTGGACCGCTAGTTAACAATTTCACCGTGATCGGTATAACTTCCTGGGGCGACGATTGCGGCGAACCAAACTCCCCCGGCGTCTACACGGACGTTATCAGTCTCGTGGAATGGGTTAAAAATAAAACATTCCGCGAACCATAGTTTGCGTTTATTTGATTAAAATAGCAATTGCTTCCAGGGATCTTGATCCAAGAATTTCGGTCGATTTCACTACGCATCGGTGAACATCAACTTGTACTCTTAAAACGTTGAAAAAATCGGTAGGATTAAAGTCGTCGTTATCTTTAAATTCTTAGCCTGTATTACCAACGTATTAGGTGTACCGAAAAGTAATGTCATTTCTTTTACATTAAATTCAGACAAATACATTCATAATACATTTCTATTTTTAATCGATTATGTAATTATCCTCGTTATCAACAACCTTTTGCCATTTAGTGTGCAAATATTCGATACTAAATGGTTAAAAATCAATGAGTTGATGAACGATAAAGAAGTATTGAGATTCATAGAAACGACATTACTTTTCGGTTCACCTAATATTACTTCAATTCGGTATGACCAGTTCGACGGTTTCCGTGTCCTTTTTAAATACAAATTTCGCTTTCTTGAAGTTCAAAAGATTTATTTTCCTCTGCGAGCTCCACGCTTCGTAGCCCAGTCTGTACAACTTGGGTAAACGATCGAAACCACCGGCATCCGCCAGCGAATCGTTATATTCCCACTGTTTATCCATTAACTTGTGCGCGTGTCTCTTATTCGGGACTTTCAACTTTGAGTCTTCCAACATGGCCGATCTAGGAGGTAAGACTGCCCTCTTCTCCAACAGGGCGAGAAAATATTGCACCTGAGAAATTGACAACACCTTTAAAGATCCTATGGTAGTTTATTTAAGGTCGATTCAGACTATACGACACGGACCGTCGCGTTCCGGCAACGACACGTACCGGCACCGACACGACAAAACATTCAAACACGCGTTTAAAGGTGTATTTACACATATCCGTAACGTGTCAGTTCCGTATCCGTTCAGTTCCGTAATGTTCCATCAGTGTCAGTGATTTGAAATATTCTTCTGTTGTTTTTCAATGGGCATGTTCACACACGTCCGACACCGCTGACGTTATTGATACGGTACGGATACGGAACTGACACGTTACGGATATGTGTAAATATACCTTTAATGGAACTATTCACACTATTCCCGTTGACGGAACGTTCAGGTCGGTGTCTGTTAAGTCTGAATAGTTCCATTAAAACGCGTGTTTTATAGTCCGAGAGCCCGCGACAGAAATGGGTGACTCGTTTCATTACACAAATGAACCTGTTTTCCTAAGATGATATGTCTCCCTAGTTCAGAAATGCTTGGTCTGGCATGAATTCAATGGTGCAACGCTTCATTATGGCGTTTTATAATAATTTGATTTTTGGCCAAAATAATTACTACTGAAATTTTTAGTGTGTATTGTTGACATACCAAATTGAATAAAAAAGTTGGTCTGGCAGATTGTAAGCGGTGCTAAATGGGTCTAGCAGTCGGAAAACCTTGTTGGAAAAACCAAGTATTGGGTTGTCTGTAAAGTTCATGCCGATTTTTGATAGGTAGTGCAGGTCTAAATATGTCGAAATGGCTGAAAACAAATAACATATACGTATGTATATGTACATCCCTTAATAGGTGGAAGGTTTGTGGAACAAAATGGTACCTATGTAATTCAATAAATATATGTTACAATTCAAATGTGCCTTTGAAGTTTTTTTAAAAATTGCCACGAACTTTCTGGACAACCTAATAGTTTGACTAAAATCATTAGCACCCATTTAGCATCACTTACAATCTGCCAGACCAACTTTTTTATGCAATTTGGTATGTCAACAATACATTCTAAAAATTTCAGTAATAATAATTTCAATCAAAGATACTGTTATTTCTTACACGTTTCCGACTTTCTAAGAGAGCGATGCACCGTTTGTGCTCTGCCAGCCTTGGATTATTTTTATTCTTTAGTAGAAAACAGTCAAATAGCAAAAGGATATTTGTAATGAAATTGGCCGAAATTTTATGTCGCGGGCTCTCGGACTATTAATGTTTTGTCGTGTCGGTGTCGGTACGTGTCGTATAGTTTCAATCAACCTTTAATGGTAGAAATAATCGTAGCGATCGTTACTTGCACGTGAAACATCGGAAAGGGGACGACAACTGTAGGCACTCCAACGATACACATCGTAGGATGATCGATGTTAATTAAATGTTTGTACAAAGGAGTCACGTAATTGTTATCGACGCGTATGCCGCAGTTTTCGTTCAAAAAAGGGAAACCGTATCGATATCCGGTACAAAACATGAATACATCCGCGGTAACAGAACTTTGATCCTTTAAAACGATTCGTCCTTCGTCTATCCTTTCCACGCCCATCACCTGTTCAATGTTCGATGGTAAAGTGCTGCTCAACCTACGCAATATTTCAAATGATTTCTACTCTTCCTTGTAAACTTTTAGTTACAATTATTAGGTTGTCCCGAAAGTTTCTTTCGCGAGTTGCACTCAATTATTTGATGTGGTCGTGTTTATATAAATAGACAATCTAATTTCATATGTATTCATGTTGTAACAGTAATGGAGCAAAATGAATCGTGCACAATTTAGTAATGTAACATAAAACAAACTATTGTGCATGTATTACTTATTAACACGTTGATCGCCACGTCGCCCATATGTGGGTGACAGTGCTTTTCGCTGAAGAACTAAAAAAATTAATTCTGAAAGTTAAGCTTCAAAGGGAATGAATTTAAATGAAATTCGTGTATTTTGATGAAGTTACAAAACTAAATACCACGACGGATGTTTGATTATGTAGTCTCCAATAGTATGAATAATATTTAATCCTAGCTGAAATTTTCAAGAATATTTGTCTGGCAGTCAACGTGTTAATAAAGCGAAAGAAAGTTTAGGGACAACTTAATAGATGCACGAATGTGTACCTTTCGTTGTTATGACTCAAGTACACTCGAGATGCGTGATTAGCCAAGTCAATTGCTATATCGGTACCGGAAGAGGCTGCTCCTAAAATCAAGACAGTCTTCCCAGAAAAATGTTCTGGTTTCCTATACGAATGACTGTGTACTATCGTTCCCTTATAAGTTTCGATCCCAGGTATCGTCGGGACGTACGGATCGAAGTAATGCCTAAATTGTACAACAAGACAAACCGAATTTCAATTCTCTGCTAATGCTTCGGTGATATTTTTTAACGCACCCATTGCAAATCATTAAAACGTTGTAAGTAAGCTCCTCTTCCCCCTTCGTTTTCAAATTTTTTATCCGGACGAACCACTTCTCCTCATTCTCGGATGAAGTTTCTAATCGAACGGTTTCAACCCTTGTATTAAACTGCAACATTACAATCGATGAGTTAGCAAGATATTCCCATCGATCGTCGATGAAGGATCTCTCGTGTACCTGGACATATTTCAACAAATTGAAATGCTCTGCGTAATTTTGCAAATATGTTCGAACTTCCTGGTGCGTCACGCAACAAGGTTCAACAGCGTTCATTCTCGGATAATCGGGAAAATTCATTATTATCCCAGGTAAGTTAGTTCTGTGATCAAAGTGGAAAACTCTAGTATCATTGTAACATTGTTTATATTAGTAGAATGTACGATCAAACCTCAGATCCCGATACATGCTCGAGTGTATCGGTAAACCGTTCTCGTCTAATCCAGTTTCCTCCTTGTAAACCCACGTACCACCGATATCGTTCGTTTGCTCGTAAACGTTCACTTCGAAATTTAAATTTCCCGCCAAGTGCCTCGCCGTGCACAAGCCTGCCGCGCCGGCGCCTACCACGCACACCTTTTTTTTCGTCGTAGGTTCAGCCATCTGTGTATCCACCCGTAACCTATGCGGTAAAACGTTAGTCGAAATCACTCGGAATCGCCCGCTGTAACATTTCCATAAAAAGATACAATGACTTTTCAGATTTATCCATATTTAATCGACTTATCGTATAACGAAGAATTCGCGTCGAACTTTGTATACGCTCTTTCATGAGAGTTAAATCACTTAAATCGAAACACGCAGTTTTTATGAATGTATTCATAAAACGCCACACACGTAAGGTATCGCAAAATCGCAATAGATATGAACTATGTTTCGAGGTATTTAGAAGTCTATTAGAATGCATTACATAATAATAATAATAATAATAATAATATGTCATATTACGACATACAACCTCCATCGATAAATCATAGGAATAACTATTCAAATTAATTTTCATCGTACTTTGATCGTAACCTGCATATAATACAATTTTTATAAAACATGTTTACGTTAAAAAATAAAAGATTGATGAACCGCTTCTGCGCATCGTTAACTAAACTTTAAACGTTATTTTTGCAAGGGATCGAAAACATGGACTAGGTTTCGCTCAATATACTGTGTATTTAGTGCCCACTTACTCGGTATTTTAAATTTAAACGATAAATTTAAACGTCCCGTTATTCTTGCGAAATCACCTCGACGAAGACTACGCTTTCTGTTCGTTTTTTCAACTTGTTTATATCCTCGGACAAGGATGAGTGGGAAAGCTTCCGGAAAAAATAAGCAAACCGCAAGCTCGTTATCACTCCAAAATCACGATAATTACACTATTAGATATATACATGTATGCGGTTCGATAAGCAGCGTTCCTGATAAAGTTTCTCGTAGCTTGTAAACACAGATCCAAACCTAACAAATAAATCCCAGCCAGTAGAAGTAAAATATTTATTGTGTTATTCCTTAATAACATTACCATGTAAATAATCGTAACATTAGTCTTACGGTCTATATTAATGATCGTATTGAATCCAGTTACACCTAGTACTGAGCAATTAATTATAAAGAGTCTATGTTACAGCGGCATGTATCTCTATGTATAGTTCTCAGTCGACGTGTCGTACCAGTCAAATGAGTTGTATAAAAACTTATCTCCTTGTTTTTTTTTTTACCCGGCAACATTCGTCCAGCCAAGCTACAAAACGTAAATGCTACCCGCAAGTTTCGCATCACACGCAAAATACATGGAATCTGTTTTAAACAGCTTCGGGACCTACTTCGACCGCAAAGTATTTCCATTCGTCATCATTGATTCTACTTAGGTTGCCCTAAACCTTGTGGTATAACTCGGAAGGGAGTGATTTCTTTTTTTTTTTTTTAAAAAAGCATAAACATTTCTGGATGAAAAAGCTGATCTTAAAAATACGTTTCCTTTGCAGTTCAAAGAAAAAATAATGCGTTTTCGGAAAATAATTTGCGGTTCGGATAAACGTGTCGTTTCTAGTCGTGTAAAAAATTATGTACAAAACAATCTGCTTGTTTGTCTCGGTGTCAGGCACGCATGGATACCTTATACTCTTTAAGCATTATTATTAACTACTATACTCTTTTCATTCCAATTCGATTTTCTTAGCAGCTTGGAGTAATACGGAGGTAACCATGCGTTCGCATTCGACTGACAAGTATCTCTATTTTTTGCTTTTTCTATTTTATTCAGAAACAGGAATTCCTCGAATTTGTATCGTAAAGCGACTTTGCGTTATCAAAACCTGATATAGTCGATGAATAATAATAATATATATATATATATACCTATGTAAAATAAACTCGATCTAAACGCGAACAAGTACATTCTTGCACAATGATAGATATGCGTTAAGGCATAAAAAAGGAAAACGCTCCGAGACATCGTAAACGTGAGTTTCCTTTTGCTTTTCTCTTTTCTTTACGTGCTAGACATACTTTACGTTACGCGACGGATGTTCAATTCATTTATTCTGTCATTTGTTTTTAAACGAGAAATATGGAATGGAAATATTTTCGACCGAAATCAAAATAAATATTACAAGTAATTGTTAAGTATTCCTAGAATCACCGATTAAACGCTTCGTTTGGATCGATGCGTAGTGGGCTGCTGTCAAGACTATTTCGCCAAAATAGATTTCCTAATGCCGCTTTGTCGACGGTATATAAAATTATAAAACTCGACGAAAACAATATCACCAGTAAACATTTAATCGCAACGAACAGATCTACAATAATCTTCCGATTCTCTCCATTTTTTTTTTAACTCGTTCTCAGTCTATTGATCCTCCATATACATATTTTATATATAAATCTATATAAGTATGCGCCGACACGTCGAGATACGATTCACTGTTAAACATATATTATCGGCAAAAAAAAAAATGAAGTTCGTGCAATGGGTACAAATAGCAAAAAATAAAGACTATAACAAACTGTTTCTTATCCTTAAATACTGTACGTACAATAATTTTAAGAACGCCCAAAGAAATACTCAGCAAAACAAAGAGACAAAGAAAAAATGAAATATCTCCTAACGTTGACTACTCGAACGAATCGACATAATTAATTCGATGCACCGATTCGTCGACAAGTTTCCTTCTTTCAGGTTTATATATTACATTGCTCCACGCTCTAATCGTCGTAGTATAAATACTCTCGATCATATACAACGCACTCGATCGATTTACTAAAGACTGTGAGTAAGGCTATCGCGAAAATTTGACGAAAGCGAATCTTCCTTTATTTTTTTTCTTTCTTTTCGTCTTTCGCAGTATTTCCCGCGTATAATGCACACGTGATTAAACGCCTATAAATTACGTTTCGTTACATCTACGTGAAATTCTTTAGAAGTTTGAACGTTCGAATTCTCACTGTCGCTGCCCTCAACTCGTTTCAACGATACTCGCACGATTTACGATTGGACCGATCCACGAGTTTCGTTGTAGCCTCGAAATTTTACATATAATCCCGTTTAAGTAGAATTTGGTGCGTCGTTTCGATAACGCGTATAAAAATCTGAAATTTCCAATAGGACGATCCAGGTACGATCGACAAGTACTCTTGGACAGCATCCCAGTGTCTGGCAAACGAATTCGATAAAGGGCAAGTAATCAGCGTTTAATTATACCGTGCCCCATATACCTCTGTTACAATTTCAAGAATATATGTATGTGTAGATATATGTATGTATACATGCTTTGGCAAACGTCCTCTTTTCTCATTTCTACACGATACTCGTATCTTACGTTAATTGTACATACGTATCCCGAATAGCGAACAACTCAAACGAAACTTGAACAAAATATACATATTATCAAATTTCCTAAGAGTTTCTCGTAAACATCGCAAAATTGTAGTCCTTTAATCGATAAGTCATGCACTGTAAACACGATGCTTCGACGGAACGAGAGATACGTTTCACAAAGGACGAAGTAAACAAACTGTTTCCTGGTATACGATCGTCGTAACATCGCTCTCATACCATGCACTAGAATATTCAAAATATATCGAACAATTCGTCCCGATTTTATATATATATACAAAATTCCTTATACGTTGGCAATATGATCAACGTGAAAACGAACAAAACTCGTAAAAGTCAATATACAAATGGTAAGAATAAAGGAAGAGAATAGAAGATGGAGAAACGAAGAAAAACATTTTATACAAATATACTTCTTTACATCTACGGACTCACATTAGCCACACATGGTCGTTTCGAATACGGATTAAAAAGAGATTCTCTCTACAATGTCGTTGGACTACGTTGCCGCTTAATGAGCGACCATACATTGTATACATATTTGGCGTAAACCTTTGATTCGTAGTGTTGAACGTGTTTATTTACTAAAAAATATATATCCATGTATCTTGATAGAATGGTCTATCGGCGAAAATTTAGCGTTTTCTTTATAAAACTGTACGACTCGAGAAGCCTGATACAAACGTTCGGTTCTATTCAATCCGATTCGCAAGGCGCAGCTCATATCATTACGACCTTCGATATCTATTCACCAGTTACGCTCTCAGTACTCTCGAACGGCACTCGACGGATAGAGCACAAGCAGGGTAGAATTACAATCCAAACGATCGAAAATATACTTTTTCCACGTGTGCATTACGTACGTATAAAATCGCTAGACATCCTACAAAACAGTAGACATCACCACACACGCGTGTCGTCGATGGATCGGTAAATTTTCCTCGAATTGACGATAATTCTTAGTAGTTCGATATATATGCGTGTATAAGACGTACAAAAAGTTCTGTTCACCGTAGAAACGCGTACAAGGTCTACGAAAACTCACCGACTTGGGAGTTCTCGGGAACGATGATCGGGCGGATTCTGTGGATTGTACCAGAAGTATATACTTTCTCGAGAGAATCGTATGAAATTAATGACATTCGTATGCAACGATCTACTTCCAATGTAGAAAAAATACCTTGCAAGAGCACAGTGACAATTACTCAGCCCTACTCTACCGAGAAGCAACACTTGCTCTCTAATACTTTGCCATAAACAAATTGGAACTTTGCTATTAAGCTCTCTCATGCCATTGGAATTACGTTAAACGTGTAAACGTTAAACTGTGTCGCTGTTTTTCTCTGTGTTCGACGACCGCAGCTCGTTATCCGCTAATGTTTGAGAATCTCAACGTTGCTGCATGTCGTTGAATGTTGACCTCGAAAAGGGTATGTCTGATGCTTCTCGTGGCTTTTGCAAGAAACGAAGTTCGGAAGATCCAGGTTGTATTCGACAAATGTACACGTTAACCCTCGCTAACCGAAGAAAGCGAACTGCGCGTCGAACCAGCCGTATGATGCGTCAAATCGGGAAGATCCGCCGGCAGGCACAACGGCATCGCGCTTGGTCCATATATCGCCTCCTGTTCCTCTAGTTGTAGAGCAAACTGCTCTTCCAATCTCTGTAACGTGAAACCACAAGTATTTAACCACATGATCGATTACAAAAAATCAATGTCCTTTCCTTTGGAAAAAAAAACTCAAAGAAGTATTGTAAAGAATCGATCAAGAAGTTAAGAGCTTATCAATACTTTTATATTCTATTTACTGTATTCGCGACAACAGATCTTTTTTCAACTGACCTTGTTCATTACCTAGTAGACCATTCTGATATCCACTCGTGAATCTCTTTTTCGAAATTTTCATCGGTTAGGTTTTTACGGGGGGTATTTAACGTAGAAGGAAGCGATATAATCGAACGTACACACTTGGAAACACTTATATACGAGAAACCCTGGTATGTAAGCATTTACCCCGAACATTTTACTACTTCCGGTAAAAGTATACAACACACATCCCACGATTATCACCGATTCACCCTGTTGTTATGCTTTCACCTAACCATTCAAGCTACCATTTGAGGACGCGACATTTACTTGTTACCGATAATACAATCAACAATAGGTATCCAAGGGAACACGAGGTCTCTGCGTAAAGTACCATCCGTTGTTTAGGGACAAGCAACTTAGGGTAACGTTATTCGTTAATATCTGGAGCATACCAAAGACGCGTTTCGCTTTTTATATCACTTTATCTATACGAATTTATAATCTCATCAACTAGGCATCGTTTATTGTTTTCAATTTGCGCACGATGCAATTACCAACGTTCTCTGTACGCGGGCAGTAAATCAGCGACTTCTGGACTCGACACAGTAAATGATTTCGATGATAAGTGCATTAATATCGCATGGAATACTATACATTTCATCTAAAAATAACAAGCTCTTATCGTTTTAGAGACACATACAAAGTTACTGGATTTTTGTTTCCCCACTGATGCGACGAAATTTACAATGTTATATATGAATTGTTTATAATATGCGATTACTAACTGTACATGTTATTTGAATTCCGTGTGAGCCCAAATAGTGTACACATGTCTCCTGGTCTTTGTTACGAAAAATACGTATATAATTTATATATAAATATATGTATTATTGATGCGTGTTTGTATACATAACCGCATGTATACACAGTGGAGTGATATCTTATAAGCAAAAAAGACATCTGCTTACTGTTATTCGTATTACAATATACGAACAGTAAGTTTCTTCCTTCGATAAACGTATGAATCCTTTATTGATGTCTTGGCGTCTTTTATATTATGAAATTTATTTGCTTTGTTGTCTAAACAAAAATAATATTCAAAATGTTAATCGTTTGTATTTTTCCATACGTCTTATAACGTGCCACTGCGTATACCTCGTGTGCAACATACGTATACAGCATTTAGAAACATCAGAAATATTACTAGATAATCGAAGCAACGGTAAGTAAAGCGAGCATGTTACGCTTCAATGCTTAAAACACAATACAAAGAGAGAAGTTTTGAAATAAAAAATAAATAGCTTGAAAATAACAATAACTGAACGAATACTTGAATTAAAAATGAATTCTTATTAAATGAGCGTAACTCGGGAACATAGAAAAGATTGTTTAATTTGTTAATTCCACTAATAGTTTTACTTCAAAGCCTCTCTGAATGGACAAAGGACACAATCGAAAGGAGACACACGAACACGGATCAAAGGAAGACTATCTACGAGGCGAGGAAGATGGCACCAAGTCCGGCTTGGAATAACTTCGTGGAAGCATGCCGTTGACGGAACCGGTGTCCGAACCACTGACTCTTAGCGACACCCTTGGAATGGTGAAGGGACAAGGGGATGCGGGAGTGGAGCGTGGTAAGTGCGGTGACTTCTTCCAGCTTTCGAAATTGAAGATGTTAGAATAGTCTAGAGGAAGAGAAGAGAGACCACTAAGACCCGAGGGCAAATAGTCTCGGTAGCGAGCTTCCAACGCTTCCAATTCAGCCGTCAGTTCAGCTTCTACCTTCTATAACAAGTACATTAAGACTTATTTCAGTATAGCCGGTATCTAGTCCCTTATAATTTAAGGAACGATCGAGCTACGATAGATTCGTATCTTTTCCTTCTCTGACGAATTGAGCATTGTATGCAACATAGGGACTGGATCCTGCAATTCTGCTGCACGTGTATCTCACGAGTAATGAAAGTACAGACATTTAAAGACGAAAATTTATCCAAAAGGGTAGCGATAGTCTTTGAAAGTATCAGATCATTCTGTTTTTATGCCAAGAAGAAGGTAATTAAAGTTGCCGAAGTTGCTTGCGAGAACTACTTCGTTTATAAAATGATCTGGTGATTCCTTTTATAAAGTAATCGACAATCAAAGACGTACTCGGTAACAGAAAATAAAATAATAATGCAGAATGTACGCAAAGCAGCCGTTGAATTGTAAGGATTGATTACCTGCTTTCGAGGCTTCAACTGCGCTTTCCATTCGCGAAGTTCTTTACTGTACGCCTCTTCCAGTTCCTTAAGCTTCAATGTTTCATGCTCCATCAGCATTTTTCTCTTTTCGTTCTGCAGCTGTTCCAGTTCTTTGATGGTGGCATCGCTCTGCGCTCTTACCTCCTCCAACTGCCTCGAATGCTTCAACTCGAATCGTTGTTGCTCCGCTCTGTAACGTTTCTTCTCGTTTTCCTGAAACTTTTTCAGTTTCTCCCTCTCAGCGTCAGGATCAGGCGCAATCACCGACGACATCGAAATCCTCATGGACTCTCGGAACATCATCTCGCGCGCCTTCATCTCGTTACGAATCCGTTTAGGTAAATTTCTACGTTCTACCGTCTGTCGCTTGATCAGTTCCTCTTCCTTCCTTTGATTCATTCGTTTCATCTGTTCGAGTTCTTTCTCATGGCGAATTAGCATCTGATGCCTTTGCAGAAAGAATATATCCTTCAGTTGCTTTTTCAGCAGTTGTTGCTTTTCGTGGATGTGCCGTTCTTCTTGCTCCCAAATGGCCGCTTCTCGACCTCTCATCAGCTGTTGTTTTTGCTGCAAGAACTGTCTCTCCATCAAGGCGATCTTCTCCCGATGGCTGTCGGACAATCTCCTCAACGCTACTTCGTGACTCTCGTTAAGTCCGTCTAAAAAGAGTTTCTCCTTTTCATCGTGTTCGGCCTCCAGCGTCTCCTTGCGTATCTTGAACGCACTCTTCCTCTTGCCCTTCGGCATCAGATCCACCTCTTGTTTGAGCAACCTCATTTCTTGTTTCAGCGTGTCGCGATATTGCTTCAACTCCCTTTCCTGATCGCTGCGTATTTTCTTCGAAGTCAGCCGAAGATCAGCTTCTTGTTGCGCTTCAGCGCGTTCGATCTGCTGTCTCTGGTGCCGAGCAAGGGTCTCCAAATCGGTTTCAGCGTTTCGTTCCAGAAGCTGTCGTTCTTGCTCGAAACGTTTCTCCTGTTGATCCTTGTTGAACTGCGCCTTCTGCGACAAATCCTGAAACTGCTTTTGCTCCATTTTCTGCAACATCTTCAGCTCTCTCAACTCTTGCTTCCTGAAAATTTGATCGTCGTACACCTTTCCGTTCTCGTCGTCACCGTAGATAACCTTCGACGTAGTTGTGGTGACCACAACGCCGTCTATCTCGAATTTTCTGGTTCGCTTCCGTGTCTTTTTCTTTAGGTTCATCATCTGTATATCCTCTTTCGTCCTTGTCGGTCGCGGTATGTCACGATTGTAATCGGGTTTCCGTCGCAATACCACTTCCTCTTCCGGTTCCGTCGACTGACCTTGACCGATATGATTCTCTTTGTTTGATTCTCTGCTGTCCTGACTTATCGTCGTGGAAATCGATTCGGCGTCCGAGCGATCTATACTCTTACTTGGCGTGTGGGATCTCGTCGAACCTGATTCACTCTGCGATCTGGATCCCTCGAAACTGTCCGGAGATATCCTCTTCTCCTTGTATCCCTTGGCAACGTCCTTCTGTTTCGTCGTCTTGATAACTTTCTCGTCGATACGACTCACGGACGACTTGTCGTTCTTTATCATACCGTTCATTTTCTTCGAGTTTCTCTCTGCATCGTCGCCGTCTGCGGACTCGACAGTCGTTCCAGCGACTATCATTTTGGTAATTTCGTCCCCGCTATCGCTCTTTGTGCTCGATCTCTCAATCAAGCTCGTATCACTGTGCGAGGAGGATGTTCGTACGGCGTCGTGTTTGTTAAGTACCGAAGAGTCTTTCACTTGTTCCTTGTCGTCGCCAACGGTGACAACGGAGACGTGACTAGTATCTTGTAATTCATCTACGATTGGACTTACGATGAGAACCTCGGATTCGTCTAACTTCTTGCCGACCTTTTTCGAAACGTCGGTCAGAATAATGGGTTGCTCCTGAGGCGTGTATTCCAAGCTGTCCAGACTAGGGAATCCGTCATCATCGGTGGAATTCTCGTTCACTTGCGTCTTGTTTAACTCGTTCGCGACAATAACAACTTCCGATGTGGGAGACGGCCGACAGGAAGGAGGCGTTGGCGATACCGCGTCTACCAATACCGGAGGATGCGTCGTCACAACCGTCACTTGGCTTATGTTACTTGCAAGGGAGTTCGATAAATCCGGATAGATACGGACGGTTGATGTGTTTGGACGTACCTCTTGGTCGGGCTTACCTAAAAATTAAAAAAATAATTACATACAACATTACACGAGGCAATCGTTATTACATTTTATTTTCATATAGTTAAGTAGTTTTTCGATCGTTTCTTACCGGTAATGACAACTATGTTATCAACGCTACCTCTTCTGGAAGTACTTCTACTTCTAATAGGCGTTGATGTAATCACCGACACATTCACCGACGAACCTTTCTTTTCACTCTTCGAAGCATCGTTTGCGTCATTCTCATGTTTGTTTTCCTTATATAGCCACTTCTTCTTGTCTCGTTTTCCATCGTATTCGTCTGAAAAGTTTTCCAACGAGTCGTATCTGGAAGACCCTTCGCTGTGACTTTTAACAACAGATTCCGTTTTACACGTTCCATAATCTGTCTTGATATTTTCGGTAGAACAAGCCTTGGTAATATTTTTTTCGGGCGAAATAGCGTTTGGAATATTTCGGTGCGTCAACGTTTCCAAGGAGGAAACATTCATTCGAATTTCGGAATCCATCGAAAATCGTTTTTCTAAAACCGCGTTTAATTTTTCCTCTACCGATTTTCGTTTTTCTTGCAAGCTTTTATAATTTTCTTCTGTTGAAGATTGTCGTTTAACTTGTGCATCGACTGGTGTTCTCTTTTCGATTCTGAAACCAAATGTATTTCATGCATCAGTAAATAGAAACAATATTTCGACAACAGATCAATATAAATAAATAAGCACCTGCTCTTTTCTTCCAAAGATGACTGTTTGTTGAACATTGGTTTTATCCAATCTTCCGACGATTCCGGTTTAACGGGTGCAGATTTCCTCTTTTCTTCCAAAGTTAGTTGCGCCCTCGTAGGAGGACTTATTTGATTATTTATCAATTTTTGTCTAGTATCAACTTTCTTAATAATGTCTGAGCTACTCTTCTCCCTTTCGTTAATCTCTGTTATCTTCTCTGAACTACCGAGCACGTTTTGCTTCTCGCAAAGTGTATCTACGTATAGTTGTTCGCTCTCTACCGTTTCATGACTTTTTAACAATACATTTTTATCTTGCTGCTTTTCATCGGTAACCTTACTTTGATCTAACAACTCGACCGAACTTTGCTTATCGGCGATCTTTAAATTATTTTCCTTATCTTCATTTTTGCTATCTTGACGCATAAGAGGTGGAGGAGGCGCAGGACCTTTTTCTCGAGATATTCTACGTTCGTTTGTTTCGGTTGTACTAGGAGGTTTAGGTGCCTGGAAAACAAGTTCATATATTGTTGATATTCGCGAAAAAGTATCAGCAAGAAATTTAAGATAAGTACTTGTTTCTTCTCAACAGAAACAGGTATGTTCTCTTTAGATTCTGCTTTGCGTAATTTCTTGTTCCTGTCCTCCTTTTCACCATCCCTATTGATCTCTCGTTTGTGGCTCTCTTCTTTCTTCGCAGAAACGGGTGATGCAACAAGATTTTCTTTTTCAGAAACTAAAAAAAAATTATCAATTAATTTTCCAATTTCTTCGCGAGTATGTAATCGTTGTACCAAAAATGGAACTTACTCTTAACATCAGCGTCACTGCGCATAGATGCAGAGTCATCTCCGAGTTGATCCAGTTCCAGAGGAAGCTGTGACGTGCGTTGCTCCTGAAATATTTACTTGGATTGTATTCGTGTAGTCATATAATTGATACATACTACTTAATTCGTCATCTATAATACTTAAACTGATATAAAATATATGTTTTGTCCTGAGACATGTAAAGTTTCAATTTAACATAGTTGTTAAAAATATTGAGTCTGAACGTGTATAAAGTACATTGAAAATAGCTTATGCATTGCAGTTGGAAAAGAGAAAAAATGGGGAGGAGTTATGTTATGTACAAAAATATATATATTAATATTAAATTAGACGGCACTTATCGCATAAGCTACTGACCTGACAAACGCAGGGATGATGGGGCTGGCGAGGCCCAGGAGAGCCGCATGCACAGCCAAATTATCCAAATTACAACAATATATTAGGATATCATTAGATTAAGTGTGAAAACAAAAAATAAGCATGTACTATAACATTTTTAAGATCACGATCTCGAATAATATACAATGAATACCAAATGCAAGAATGACTTTGAATACTCATTCCTCTTAAATGAAAATAATCGTAACGCATTAACTTTGCAAATTAAGAATAAAGCATAAATTAACATCGAATGCCACATGCCCAAGTTTTTTCGAGATTTTACCCACATTTATCATGCATAAATATACAAAGTGTAATCGTGTGTTTATCGAGACTCAAATGAAACACATTAGCGACTTATGAAAACGCATCACAAAACTATCTCGTCTCACGTATTACCAATTCTCTGAACACGAATGAATGTTTATCGATATTTAATTATTTAAATACACTAGTAAATTTGTACACAGCAATTTATGTTTCATTCAAAGCAGCTTACCAATCCGCTGATATTGTTCTCTGTGTTTTTTCGCCTTTTTAGCCTTCTATCAAAATGAAAGCGTGTAACAACGTATATACATGTTAATTCTGTCCATAAAACTTCTGTACATTATTATTAATTAAAAGATTTCTTAATATGTTAATTTATAACAGCGGACATTTATATTAGCAGACAGCGATCGCCAGATATAATACGAAAATAAAATTTACCTCTGCTTCTTCATCGACCAATTCCTCTTCGACAACATCAGCTTTGTATTCCAATAACAAATCTCTAATCGGTTTTGAATCTAAATTTCGATTTATGAATGGATGCTTTAACAATTCATCGGCTGTAGGTCGCGACGTTGGATCCTTTATAAGGGCCTTCGCAATGAAATCGTTAAAATCTTTACTCCATTTTCCAGGTTGATCGAGTTTTGGTGGATCGCTCTTTTGTATTTTAAGAAGTACCCGCATTGGTGACATTTCATGGTTTGGTGGTTCCATTTGTGCAAACTCTATTAGAGTAATACCAAGCGACCATATATCTACCTATTGTAGAATAAAACATGTCAATCATGATATGTGTATACGAGGTTTATAATTTCAGAATATATTACTGACTTTAAAATCATAAGGATTATCTCTGAATGTTTCGCACAATACTACTTCAGGTGCCATCCAATAAGGTGTACCAATAAATGTATCATGTTTCTGTAAAGTATGTTTATTTTTTGCAGACACTCCAAAATCAGCTGTAAATTCAGGAACTTGTTAATATTGTCTAGATTTATAAAACTGATATATTTATCAGAATATAAATATTACCTAATTTCACTCCTCCGGCCATTGTTAGTAAAACATTTCCTGCCTTTAAATCCCTGTGAATAACTTTCGATTTGTGTAAAAAGGCAAGACCCTTGGTCATATGTTGGCATATGTAGGCTATTTGTAGCTCTGTTAAAGCTTTTTCTAATTCAACCATTATAGAATCAACAGCACCGCCATCGCAATATTCGATTAACATCTGTAAATTTTACAAGATCATTGAGAAGGATGGTCTTTGGAAATGTTATATAACTCCAAAAACATACCCATAGCTTGCCCTCTATAAAATATGCTTCATGCAATTCAACAACATTTGGATGTTTACACTCTGATAAAATATCTATTTCAATCATAAAATCACTAAGATCATCTTCCCCCTCTAATGCGCACATTTTTGCAGCAGCCAGCTGGTGCGTTTGCCTGTGCTGTGCCTGCAATATAGATAACTGTCTAGTATGGTGATTCCTTCACAATTTTAACGAGCTTATAGGCAACTTTACCTTATAAACTTTGCCGAATGCTCCATCTCCAAGTTCACCCACCATTTCCCAAAATTCTTCTGGATTGCAATCCATTTTAATATTATTAAATAATTTCTTTTTCTTTGCATCGTTGCCACCAAAGTGGAACGCTTTCTTTAAATTCGACAAGAATGACATTTTTGCTGTAGTTATACAACACATTCGCATGTATAAAAACTGTATGTTTATTACATTATGTCGTAGGATTGATACTATTTATTATTAGCAACAAATATCTATTTCAATATTGTGCTTACACATAAATCTTACAGAGCACTCAAATAATTCATTATTATATAAAACAATTATGAGATCCCAGAAATCATCTTCCTGTTTTAAATATAGTCTTGCATGCTTTTAGATATTTCAATGTATTTTCTACTATGATAGAAAATATTAAGAAAAAAAGATTTTGTTCAAATCCCCATTTGATACCTGGGGATTGTACCAAATCTCTCCCGCATCTTGATAACTAAATAGTTGATGCTTATTAATCAACAGGTATATCATTCAAATTAATAAAAATACAAACAATATGAATGAAACCCATTATTTATAATCTTCTGTTTTCACTCGTGACAGCTTTGAATCTGAAACACAAAAGAACATTAATAAAAATTATAGCAAGGATAAATTGTTATTAAAATTGGGACAATAGTATTTTCAAGCGATATTATAATAGTATTAAAAAGAAGTAATGCATTAACTGCTTTCTTTTAGTATAGTGTCTGTAATACTATATAAATTCCATTGATAGAGAAAACTGGGACATAGCTAACAGAACGACATTCCAACAAGAGAGACCTCTAGTTTTATACATTATAGCTAAATTTCATTATAAACACATTGCAAAATAAATTCTATTACAAATTCTTATTTTAATAAGTATCTTGTTGTTCATAAACAATAAAACTGACATTAATGAAAATGTATCGATACATAAGGAAATGGTATGCTAACGTTATTCCTTATCATATTGCTGTGAAATTACATTACACACTTAGCACTGTTTCACAAATACGCACTTACTATTTCCAAAAAAAAATGTCAAATTCGTTGAAATCGCATTCCCATTCAGTGTCTCGATAAAGAGTACAACGATCTACGATCAAGTACGTAAAACAGGTCGAAATATTCATCTAACTAGGAAATACAGGAACAGAACTCCGTTTAAAATACCAAAACTCGACGGTCACGAGATTGACACAATTTTGACAAGTAATCTTTGACCGTATCTGTCCGCCATCGTTTTGTAAATACACTTTCCCCGTTTTCCGCGACACGAAAAACGTATTGTCGCGAAAATTCGTCAAAACGATATCAACCAAGGAAATATTCGACAAAATTTCGAAAGGAGGAACCGTGATAGAAAGAACGATGCGTAAACGTGTATCGAATGCGTTAATGAAATTTTCACGAAGTCATCTATGCAGTTTTGTGGCCTGCCAAAGGCTGTACGTGTTTCTTTTAACTCGAGATGTATAGAACAAAACCGTGAAGGAACATTACAATTTCGACGACGCGAAACGTTCGTACACAGCCGTCGCTGAATTATCGTTTAAACAAGGAACTTGTACAAACTTTTCTCCGAAAGATACGATTGTTAGAAAAAAAAATCTGTGAACACATCCTCTGCTCACCTTCTCTTTTAATGATCTACCGTTGACGAAACGGGCACACTTCGTCTCGGTGTCTAACCATCGACGATCCACTGTGAACTTCGTTTCGCACAATCTCACAAACTGCACGTATCCTCGATAAATTCACCGTAACCGTTTGTAAATAATCGAGGAAACGCGAGAAATGTTTCGTGAAATCAGTAAACTAGACGGATCTCTACGTACACGGCCATTTTCAGTAGCACACGGACATCACACATCGTACCGTACCACGCCTGGAAGTGACGTAATCAATCGGCAAGTGTGTCTGTATTCTACGAGAGACTCTCCAACTTACAAATGCATCTTAAATGCATTTAAAAAAAAAAAAAAAAGATCGCCTATCGATATGTCCCACAATGTATGTAGGCTCATGGTAACGCTGTTATGCAAATTACCGACTGTCACTCAGAAATTGGCCATGATTATTCGTCACGCGATAAAATTAAATCGTTAAGTATGCCTTTAAACTTCTCGCAGTAACATTCATATAAACTCTGACGCGGGTAACTAAATTTTTCTATTTAAAATTGTCTAAACGGAGTTCAACGGTCTTACTTACCGAATCAAAGTTTAAAATACATGTTATGTTCCCTCCTGAGTATCTATTATTAAGTTACGGAATTGATTTCACGACGTGCCGTTACCGCTGCTGAAACCTTGTAAATGCATGCACGATACAATCTTATTAAATACTATCGTAAAACAAAGCTATGTTTTGCAACAACGTAAACATTTCTTATACCTATTTCTTATTAATCTTTATTCTTCGCATCACGAAAACAAAATACACGCTCGTAAAACGTAGTATTTTTATTATTTATGTTGAGCAGAATTTTTAGTAAGAACTACGTTACTAGTCAGCGTTTTGTCGATAACAATGATTACTAAATATAGAAATCAAACAGTAAGGAAGTTGCATATGTGTTTGAAACAAACAAAAATTTACGCTCGTTCCATTGACATAGAATTCAATATTTCTCTGATAAATTAGATACCTTCCATTCAATGGAACGAATATTCATCAAAAAGGTTACAATAATTTTGATAATATTTATTTTCGGGAAGAATCCCGATTTTAGAAGAAAATAAACATTACGGGACGAATAATTGAAAATTTACTCATAACATGAAATAGTAGTTCAATTTTTCTGATTCAGAATCACCAATATAACGAACATAAGTTACTAGTTTTGAAACAATATTCTATTTTCTATCACGCTCGACGATTGTACTTGATTACACCTAGTTACTTATTAAAAATAATGTGAATTAAAAATGTTCATATATATTTATCATTACATGTAATATATCTACGAAATCATGAAACTAGTGTCGCTTTAGTAAATGTCATGTGACAAATTGTGAAGTGTTGTTTGTGGCAATTGTCTACTCTTGTATTCTACTCGAATTTATTTAAGTAGATCGTATTTACAAAAGATTTTCGTGCTTGTTATTCATTTTCTATCGTAAAAGTACTTTTATTGCACTTGAAATAAAAACTGTAAGTACCTTATACTATTATTAATTCATTGAAATCTCACTTAACCAACATTGGATTTAAGTACTATTAAATAGGTATATACCATCAATTTACTTAACAAAGTACAAGAAAAGATCTAAAATACAAGATTTCTATTCCGTTGATGTAATAATTTTTCAGTCATTTTAGTCCAAATTCTAAGACAATAGCAAGATGGCTAAAAGGGAACGTGGGGTGATGCAATTAATTTGGAAAAGTTTTGTTAGTTCTTTACGACCAGCTACGCGACATAAATTAATTGGAGAAGATTATTATGGAACCAAATATTATGAAATACCCGTTCCAACTAATTCTACAAAGAAAGCACATCGTTATTTTGTACCTGTAAATAAAGACGACTTCGACCAAGAACTACCCACAGAATGGGAGTCATGGTTAAGGTATCGTAGGAGAGATCCACCATCTAAAGAGGAAATAGAAACAAATTATGAAATAGCAATGACTAAAAAACAAAATGCTTTGCAAATAAAAGCCAAATATTCGAGTTCTGTATCTGAAACATCAAAGTTGGAAGTTCCAAAGAAAGGACAAGAATCATTCCCCACATATGAAGAATATAAGAATGATGGAGAAAGCTATGAAATTAAAAAACGCCCATTGTAGACATAGAAAAGATAAATAAAAATATGTAAATAAAGTATATTAACTCATTGAATATTCAAATCAAGAAAATATCTAATAAATATGTACAAATTTTATTGTAACATATACTTGTATTATGGTATATGTATAATTTATGCCTGTATTGTTTGTATGAAGTATAGACTATACGTAAAACAATTTATTAATATCCTATGTTTCTATACATACATTTAGGTGTGGTGTCTTGTATGTTATCGAGCATACCACCATTGATATAAACAAAAGTAACAGCATCAATACTAAATTTAAATGGAATATCCTCTCCTTACATAACTTCGATAATTATAGAGATACAAATTCAATCCTCGCGTTGAACGAGGCTATCCCTCTGTGTGTCTATTGGTTTCAATAAAATAATTCCCAATTTTAAATACCAACTGTAAACATAGTTTTAATGATATAAAATTTGAAATCTAGGTCGAAGCTTCTTAATAAAATGACAGACTTATAATTGTTGAAGTTTGTAAGAAGTTGTACTTGGCGTACTGTAGTACGAAATATCAGTCAACAGTCAAATTGACGGAATTCAATGCACGACAAATGTATATTTCTTGATCAACCAGAAAAATCGCTATTATCGAATAGAGCTTGATCGTATAATTCTCCTTTTACCAATCGCCCACCGAAATAGCGGCCATTCAAAGAATCTCTTGCACGTTCTGCCTCTGAAATAATAATTAATTATTCGATACAACTAACTGGAAACTATAACAAGTTTTATGAACTACGAATTACGTACCGCTCATCTGTGAGAATTCAACAAAAATCTTTACAATAACCTCTGCATCTTCGTCATCTTCTGACTGGCGTTCATTATAAATAATAACTCTTTCTACAACTCCAAATTTTGAGCACTCATCTTGGATTTCTTCCTGTAAACTTTCATCTACGTCTTCCGGAGCTACCATATTTCTCAAAATAACAACACGGGACTCGACTTTTCGCATAAGTTTTTGCATAACAAGATGACGCGCGCTTTGACCTTTAATCGACATATTTTCTTGTTGTTGTAACGTTTGTGGTTCTGTTTCCTCTAGTAATTTTTTTTGCAGTTCTTCCTGTTGTTTTTGGTGAGCTGCTTGCTCTTGCGCCCGTCTCATTATGTCGGAGTTTGGTGTAGTTGTAACTGGTATCTAACAATCATAATATTTAAATGATCGTCTATTTTTACGTAGGTACAAATAAGAATATATAGTAAAAGACATACAACTGGTGTTCCTACTATTGTAGGTGTGACGACAGCTGGAGGTGGTATAACGACTGGTTGTCCAGGTATTGGTTGAATAATTGCCGGTAGTCGAGTTAACGTTTGTGGTATAGCTATACCTGGTGGAGGTATAACCGGTGCTACTGTTGCTATAGTCGGTGGTGCCATAATTGTAGCAGGAGCAAGCGTAGGTCTTACTATGCCGGGTAAAGCTGCGTATGAATGGATAAGATGAATACAACCACTTTCATAAAATCATAAACTAAAAAATGAGTATATACCTTGATTTAATATTGGTGGCGCAGCAGCTCCAAGCTTGGTTAAGCCAAGAGCAACTGCATTGCTAGCTACCGCATCCATTGCTTGAATCTTTGCAGTTGCAGCTGCTGCTGCAACTGCCGCAGCAGTAGGCATCATACTTGTTCCACTTGGTGGACCCATAAGAGCGTTTGGTGGAGTAATAGCTCTGCCTACTCGCAGGTACTGACCGCCCAAATCGAACAAATTCATAGACGCTATAGCCTCTAAAGCAGCTTGCATTGTTTCGTATTCGATAAACCCATAGCCTTTGTGTCGGTGAGGTGAACTTCCTTGAGCTAATTTGCAATACGTAATAGGGCCAAATGCTTCGAATACAGATTTAATATCATCCTCGGTTAAGTCTTGATGAATGGACGCGATATAAATACGATTATAGTGTTTACTTTCTTCCGTAATTTCGTCTATTACAGATTGAGCTTGGGGCATGTTTGATGGACGCCCCACAACCTGTAAGAGATAACAAGAATTTAACAATACTTTTAATAGTAAAGAAACAAATATTTATGTATTATATATTATAAATAGCTAAATATGTATGAAATAAAATTAAGGAAAGGAATTATTTTCTTTATCCGATATAATTTACTAAATTTACAATTCATGTAATGCTAGAATCATTTGCGAACTCCTTGAAATATTGAGTAGTATCGCGATAAATAATTGAATGATTTACATCATGGAATCTATTACGGTTCTTAAGAAGAAAATTAATCAAGTTTTTGATCGAAGTGCATTCTATAAATATGATGCAGTTCAATCAAAAGGAATTTCGTATTGGATAAGGCTAAATAAAAATTTGCCGACCTCCGGCGGGATGATAGGATTGCTGGGGGACAGGAAATTCGTTATATAGGTACGTCCCGCTACCTTGATGTTACGTCCACCAATCATGACACCATTCATCTGTTCCAAAGCAAGTTGTGCTGCTTCAGGTATCTCGTATTCCACGAATGCGAATCCTTTGTGCTTCTGGGTAACAGGATCCCACGACATGTTGATTGATTTAATAGGACCAAAAGGCAAGAAAGCCTGCCTGATGGTGTCCTCTTTCAATTCGAAACTGATGCTGCCCACATATACCCTAGTATATAGGAATTTGATTTCAGATCACAATCGGCCGTAATGTGTTAGATCAACTGTTTCAGTTTATTTGTATCTATCATTAACGTATTCGCAATTCTATCCTATCATCGATTGGATACGAAACGAAACAAACTGTCAAAAGATATTTCTTGCAAAAACAATTTATCAATTTTATATACAATATTTTCCAATGCGATACACATGATAATTATTTATTACACTATCATCTCTTTTGCAAGAACAATCTTTCAACTTTACAATACACAGAAGAATTCAACGTGAAATATACGATGCTGTGTTCGCGTTTACAATGTTTGAAACGTTCTTAAACAATTTTAAGCAATCAGAATGAAATCCAAGTTAAATTACGAATCAAATATTTGAGTGAATACAAGATACGAGAGTTGAAAATTATCTTCGAAACTCGAGGACGAAATTTGGAGGGCTAAGACAAAGAACAAACAAACCTGCACATGAGGGCGAGAGCCTGTTGTCTCTGCACCTGATTCCGTTGACTAGCCATTTGCTGTAACACAAAGGACCATAGGCCTTCTATTGATATCCCTCCCCCTTACATACACCACGTCTCGTTCATCTCAAAAATCCCCCAAGCTCTTTTACCATTCCACCTTCTTTGCTTAACTACTCTTTCTTTAATTTTAAGTCTTTAAAGAAAAAAATTTAGTACGAAACCAGACAAGCTATGACCGTAACGATTATTTGTAAGTGTATTCAAATGAAATATACAAGATTTATAATGTTAGATCAGCATTATAAATATAAAGACGCTGGAGAATAGAGCTACGAAATCATTTGGATCTTTAATATCGCATACCAAATAGAAATCCGTGCTGAATACTGTAAATGTTCTCGGAAAAAGAAAGAATAGTCGAGCTCGGAAGTATATATCGATTATTTTTCTCAAATCGTCCATAGATTCATGCACAAAAACTTGTCCTCCTTTGCGCTGGTACAGCTCTGCTCCCGCCGACTACTATCTCAAGATATCTAACCTTTTCTTACAGTAGTAACTCAGGGAAACGTTTAGGAGTGTTTGATCGTAAGGCGGTTTCATATTGTTTCTGTCTTGACTTGGTTGACACTAACCTGCACATTAGCAATAAAACTTGCTGCCGCAGGACCAACTTATTCTTCTGCAGGGAGAAAAAATCAACCGATCAGAGTTAGGTTCCAGTGTTCGTTTCTAATTTCTGTTATAATTTTTTTTTTTTCACTTTACTCGCTCGTCATAACGAACACAGGTTAATACACTTATACAATAATTTAATATTACTCGGCGGGGCGAGCTAAATTGCAAGGACAAACGTTAATTTAAAGCACAATACGCATACGTAAGAAATTGTTGGCTTTTTTGGCATTATTGGCAAAGAGCTAAATAGAGGAAGCAACATATAAATATATCTTTTAATAAATGATACTTTTTGAGATAAAAAAGAACCCCACAATTGCGATATATAATTTCATAAAACTACGTATTAAATCCATTGTACATTCTTATTAACAGTTAACATTTAATTTAATGACTGAAATTACATGAACTTTTACGACATAAATGAAATTTGTTTATTTTTTTTATTGGAGATCTTCGATACCTCGGACGATATCCATGAATTACGTCAAAGAACAATAACAATAGGACAAAGAAAATATGCATTTTAGTAGTCTATGAATGTACAATGGAATGCAAAATGTATGTTAGGCGAGTAAAGTTTGTTAGCTTCATCATTGAAAATTACCTGTTGTTGATGCGCGAGCGTCTGTTTCATTAGAACCATTTTGATGCTCTGTTCCATCGCGTATTTCTTTGCTCTATTTACTGTATCCTGTTGTTCAGAGGTAATTTTTGGGAGACCTGCACCTAGAATGCCAGGTAATGTAAGATATTTAGCTCCAGGTCCTGTAACAAAATAGATTTGCATGTAAAGTTTCACTTGAAACTGATCAAAGGATAGTACTAAACTGTGTTCTGTCAGATCTTATCAGCTATTCGTCCACTAGACTGTTATCAACCCACAATATAACTTTAATTGGAGCGACTAAAATTTTATTGTCACTATATGTTTTTTGATACATCATTTGACGTGATAATTTATAGAATTAAATAACGTTATAATTTTACATACCGGCAACGACTTGTCCAATTTGATTAAGATCATATATAGGGCCTGGCAAGAACTCTGATGCATTTCCTACGAAGAAACTTAGTATTAGATAAACGTGTAACACGATAATTAATTATTTAGTACCTCCACCATCACACGCGTGCGTACACACGTAATAATGTTTCTAAAAATTACTAAATTTCGCGTAACCTGATTTGCCGTGACGATAGAGGTACTAAAATGACATAATTTTACAGGGAATACAGTTTTGATTTCTTAACTTTTATTCTTAATTTCTGTTCAAATTAAATAAAATCTGAAATATTAGCATTACTAATTTTTTTATTTAAAAATTGATTAATATTTGCCGTGCGAATATATTGTTTTTCATAAGTGTATTTTTCATAAGTAGCTATGGAAATTTTACTATCAACAAAAAATGCAACATAATGACTTAAAAAGAGATGAAAAAAGTAACGATGTCGTGCAGTAGTTCCCACGGTAGAACCGTCCTCCAAACTGTAAGTTCAAAGAAATTAAAACAGTCAGGCACAATAATATTTCACTTTTACAATACAAGATAATATGTATAAAATATGTAAGTATAATATATATATTTTATACACATCAAGGACAAAGTGGAATTTCCTTCTTTTCTTGCACGCCATTAATATAAAATCTGTTTTGTACTTCAAACAATTAATGACCAGACTTTTATAGAAAACAATATTAAAATTTAAAAGAGATCGATGCAACTTAATGCATCAATATCTATCATTTAAACTTCATTACTGTTTATACTATCAGCCTCAAACAAATCAGACTACCGATAACTAGATTAGGTTTCGTACGATCATAACCAATTTGGTCTGCTAGTCTCTGAAACAGAAATCAGAACACGTTGAAACGCTTCTTTTTCTCTTTAACGACTTTTGCAGTTTCACGAATTAAGAATGTTAACTTTGTTCGATCGTTTGATTAACGGCTAACCGTGTTCTGGGCTGAGCAATGATGGTTGTGCGCAAACTATCCGAGATTGAGGCGACGCACAAATCTGTAAGCACAAAGCAAAGGAGAATACTCTCAGTGCATTTTCTGCGCCATTTTCTTACAGTTTGCCTTTTCCAACCTACCACGCAGTTAGCCTTAACACTTTCTGTGTAGCAATGGCGATCCTAATTGACAAGAAATCTAACGCGATAGACCGTTGGAAAAGCGTACCTTTCGCGTATCGTACACTCCTCTACAATATTTTCTTATTGACTCGCAACAGGCTCTCCTTTAATAAAAAAAACGTCTTACCTCGTGTTTATATAACATAAATACAAATGTGATGGACTCTGAGAATATCTTGAAAAACATACATCGCCATTGCCTCTCCTATTTATAAGCCTCCCATTTCATAATTTATGTCTCATAATGAAGTAGCAAATCGAAGTTAATATCCATGAGATAAAGATAAAGAATTTTCAACTAAAGTATACTACCTTTGCTTAGTTTTGCATTAGTATTTATAAATATGCTTCATGTACAAAACGAGGCTTATAACTAGGATAAAAGAAGACTACCCTAAAATGCTGACCTATCTAAAATACGCATCGTTTTTGGTACTCGACAATAGATGCTGTGTCAGTGGAGTTTGCAAAACTCTGATTTGTTCTGTTCAACGAATGTAGCATTCTCTTTCTTTGTTTGGCGCACGCTCATGATCACAGCTCAGTCGTAGGCCACAGATTCTGTACTGTCTCTCCGCTGTAACATCTCAGAACAGAAGGACAACCATACATTAGTTTTATCGAGGGCCAATGATCACCTATTACCCTAGCCTACCAAAATATATTCTGAAACTGCAATAGACCTCTCAATACTTATAGTTTGCCAGCATTTTAATAGAAAGCTAGCATCTGATTGTCCTAAGTAAATAGTATATCTTTCCCTTCATCATTTCCTTTGTTTAAAAATATATTACACTTGCTGTCGCTTCTGTGTTCACCTGTCTTTTCCACTCGTATGCTTAACCGTATGATTTGTTAGTGATTAGGGGCATACAGCTATTTAGCTGTTTTAGCAATGTACCTTCTATTCTGAGCTTCTTGTTCGGTGGCTCTGCATTGTTCTGGGACGCTGGTGCCTAAGAACAGATAATCAGTCTTTAATTTTCCTTCACAAAAACAAGGAATTACAAAATTTGATACAATGAAAGATTGGTATTTAATATAAACATTACAAAATATCAATGCTTATTAAATATATCGCAATTTCGATCAAAGCAATCTAATTCTGTATATATTATAATAACGATAATACCATCTGTAATATGTAACGAACCTATAAATAATAAAGCTTTCGTCTACAATTTATTAAACTGTACAGAAAAGTCAATAAATTTATCGATTTGGTTATCGTAATATTATGTCAATACGTGTTAATCGATTGATTACTAGATTACGTTTATTTAATACAGTCTTGTATTTCAAAACTTTTGTCATTTCATATACGTGATTTGTCGAATAGCTTGGAAACATTAATCACTTAAGTACGTTACATGCATTTTACAACCGCCATCATGATCCGTCACTGTTACATCCACCGATTCAATATTTCCTGTAAAAACAACGATCAAAGTAAACTTACCATAGCCATTGCTCCGTTCATTATCCCCTGCGGCCCAATAAAATGATATCAATTTCTTTTAAACGTGATTTTATAAAGAAATCTCAACCGATTCGCGACAAGTAACTTACGTCCGAAGCGATCCGAAGCTTGCCCTTACGGAAGTGCTATAAGTATAGGCCATACAACATTTACAATTACGTTACTTTTATCACATGTAACAAGCGTCCGTGTAGACGACGAATAGATACCTTACTTTCAACTCTAAATAAAAAGCATAATTATTTTTCTATACTTCCAAAATATTTATATCGTTAATATTAACGTTTTATTTATCCATCGAACTCGCATATCTCGATCGTAATCTGACTACAGTAGTATAATTATGACAGCCAGAGAACACATGTTCGACAACCAGAATATCTTCTCGACGCGTTTTCTTTGTTACGAAATCGAATTACAATGGATTCCAATAATTTTCAAGTCAGATTAATCAACGACGAAAAGGTAGAATATGTTCATCTAATTCATCGTTACGTTATTTCATTTCAATTATTTTTTCGAACGTTTTAAGTCGTGTTTAATTGCGAGCATGGCGCGTGTCACTTTATTTTATAAAATATATTGGGTTGTCCAGAAAGTTCGTGCCAATTTTTATGAAAAATTCAAAGGTATATTTGAATTTTTATGTATATATTTATTAAATTATGTAAGTACCATTTTTTTCCACAATTTGTCCACCTTTTAAGGGATGTCCACATGTTATTTGTTTTCAACCATTTCGATATATTCAGACCTGGCCTACTAAAAATCGGCATGGACTTTCCAGACAACCCAATACTTTACACACTTTAAAATATTTACGATGATAAATGAATTGCAGGGAAAGGGTCTGTTTGCCACTAGTCCGTTTAAAGATGGAGATACAATTTTGGAGGAGAAACCCATTGTTTGTTGTCAATTCTCATGGAATTCAATGTATGGCTATTTAGCTTGCGACCATTGTTTAAAACCTTTAGAGACTGCAGAAGAAAATGTACATAGATTGACGGAAAATCCAGCAATTATTTTACCTCATCCAGAATGTTGTGAAACACAGAAGGATTTAATTACAGAATGTCCTGAGTGTGGCGCAAAGTATTGTAGCATCGATTGCCAAAATGAAGCTTACTCAAGGTAATGTAAATAAATTTATAACAAAACAATTTAATATATAATTTTCATAATTTTAGATATCACAGTACATTATGCCTACACTCAAGAGAAAAACAAGGCTCTCATCCCCTTACACAATTAAACGATACATGGAAACAAATGCATTACCCACCAGAATCAGGAACAATAATGCTACCAGCTAGAATGGTAGCTCTTGTTAATCAAGCCAATAATAAAGAGGAGATCCTTTCTACTTTTTCACAATTTTGTCATAGTGCAGTGAATGATATGCAGCAAATTACACACAAGTTATTGGATGAAAAGTTCATTGGTCAGATTGATGTACTCAGAGAAATGATGCAAAAATCTTTAAATACTGAATTTACATCGCATGTATGTGATTTAAATATAAATTAGAGTGTTGTGTCATAGCATAAAATGTTTAAATTTTGATTTACAGTGGTTTACACCGCATGGTTTTAGAAGCCTACTAGCTCTGATAGGTACAAATGGTCAAGGAATTGGAACTAGTTCATTTGCACGTTGGGTAAAAAACGTATCTGCATTAGAATTACCAAGGGAGGAAAGAATACAAGTTGATAAATTAATAGACCATATATATGATGAAATGGAGGAAGGTACGTTTTTCTATAAAGCATGATAAACTATAGACTTCCATGTTTAACCATTGGTACTTTTACTTTTGCAGCAGTAGGTTCTTTCTTAAATAATGAAGGTTCTGGTCTTTATACTCTGCAGTCAGCTGTAAATCACAGTTGTGTACCAAATGCAATTGTAGAATTTCCTTATTCAAATAATGTATTGGTTTTAAAAGCAATACGGAATATTCAACCAGAAGAGGAAATATGTATAAGTTACCTTGACGAATGTGATTTAGAAAGAAGTAGACATTCTAGACAAAAGACTTTATGTTCGTTATATTTGTTTCTTTGTCGCTGTGATAAATGTTTGTCGCAGGCCGACGATCCTGATTTAACATCAGAAGATGAAATAGACATGTCTAGCTGAGAAAGTGTATTTAAGGAGATATATTGAAAACAGTTTCGCATATTAAATTATTTTATTCGTAAACCTTTATTTTACAACAAAGTTTTATATAAATTACATACAAGATTTTTTTATTTGAAAGAATAAAACCAAATATTATAACTGCATCTTTATGTACATGGAACATTACCTTTCATTTGTTGAATTTTAATGTATCAGGCTAGAATAAACCTGACACATATTTTTCAACTTATCATGTAATAAACTTCGTCCTACAATATAAAAATCCCATTTCGATAAAAAGAGGATGCATTTATTTCATTCATCCCAAACATATCATTTGTCAAGTCAATTAGAAATATATTAAGTCCTATAATACTTCAAAAACATCAATCTAAGAATTGCACAAAGTATAAAACTAGACCTGAATAATTTTAATCAAAAGAACAGCACTGGTAACGATATTTTTAGATACGGTAACAACTACAATAATGCTTTGCCTTCGTTATTAACTAGACATGAATGTCAATTATCATCTAATTATCAGAGTCGTCAATCCTTTCGAATCATATATTGGTTTTTACCAGATACCATAAAATTTGATATATAACTTGGTGCAGGTGTTATAAGTACTTGTTGTTCCATCAATTTTGTTAAAAATGTAGCAATATTATGGCTACGAAATTCCCACCTGAAAGATATCAAATAAAAATTTATAGTTGTATTGACTATAATTATTCTGAAAAAAAGCTACTTACGTTACATCGATTTTTTCATTTGGTAGTTTTGCAGATACATCCTTGTGTGCCCAAGGTATGTTTGTTGCATTTATGACAAGTGATTCTAAAGTAGGAGGATCATCTCCAAAACATTTTTCCGCATATTTTCTCCGTTGTTTATGTTGAGTAAAGTCTATACCTGTACTCCTGAAAAATATACAAGACACGTGATATAAGTATTACTCTTTTATTACAAATAAGTGTTTAACTCAAGTTTCTTAAAAATATTACTTTATATCGGGACTAGCATCCATGTACTGCACAGATTCATTAATATTTTCAGAATCCAATGCTTTTCCTTTCTGCCTCCAACACATTTCAATCAATGATTTAAGATCTTTGCCTGTTAATTTAAGCGTGTAACTTTTCTTGTATCCCATGCTGTTTACTATTGCTTGTATTATATCGGCTGATATATTTTTTTTACTACTAAAGAAATACTCATGGCCGATGAATAGAGCAATGAAAATAGGAACTGGATTCAGATTTTTTTGTCTTTTGTGTTTTGAATGCCTTGCTTTCACAGAGATATATGTAATACCATTGTGTGTGTTTATTTTCACATCTATGTTCAGTTTAAAGGAATCAAAATAATCTTGCATAGAACTTTGAATTCTTCTGCTTATGAAATAATGTGCAGATGTGTTAGAACCTACTAATTTGTGACCATACCATGTTCTGCGTTCGCTGTGCCAACTTGCATCTGAAATGTTTATGTATTATTGTCAACCTACAAGTAAATAAGAAGAAATAATAAAGAATAAACATTACCAATTAACTGCAATGTCGAAAAGCGTTCTCTTAAATCACTAACTCTGAGTTTTGCATTCTATAAAAATAAAAAAATTATAAAAACAAAATTGAAACATAATTCTAGCATATGTCAGAGTAAAACTTACAGCTATTGCTGCTTTGATAAGCTGAGCTGCATTAACCGATGTGAAACTTCTACACTGTTTAATCAATGTGGATTTTATATCCGTCCATGATATTTCAGGAAACGTAGGCATTATCGCTGATTCTAAGTCTTCAAATTTGAATCTTTTAATAACATTGACTATGTTTACTAGTATTTGGATGGCTGGTGCTGGAACATCAGAAAAAAGTATCTTCTTTATTCTAACACAATTTCAACAAATCACATCTCTCGATTTTTGAATCAATTGATACTTGAGAAACTAACCAACTGACATTATGCACGGACACAAATAAAATAAAGTACAGTTGCAGTGAGAATTTGAAGTAGCGCCAAACGTTCACTGAAGTTTCTTTATATACCTCTGATACACCTATTGGACATTAATGGCGTAAGTTGCACAGGCGCATAAAACGCTCGCCATTTCCCGCCTAAAATAAACGGTTATTTATACTAATGGCGCCATTGGTGGGAAAACGCCCAAGTTTGTAATGGAAATAGTTGCTACTGCTGTTACTAGATGACGCGACCAATACTTTCTAATAAATTATATATTTTTCTTTCATAAATGAATAATTAATACAATTCTGTGTTTCGTAACACTACAATATATCAGTTAATATATCAAATTTATCGTTTTTATGACCAGTTATTTAATGCAGCAATAATTATCGACTCTTTACTTAATGGCGCCATCGTACATAAATACTGGGAACTATTTTCGCTACAAACTTTGGCATTTCCTTACCGATGGCGCCACTGGTATTAAAACTAGAATTCGTATGGGTGCGCAGGAGTCAGAACAGAATTTCGAATTGACTTGAGCGACAGTCGCGGAAAAAGTAGAAAACTCCGTGACAAAGACAGAGAGGGCGATACAACAATTGCAGGAGAGACGAGGATAGGGCGATTAGGCTAGCATGATTTTTTTCAAGGATATTGAAACAAAGAAACAATATTTTCTAATAATTCTGGTTTTAATATAATCGTTACACTTTGGCGGATGCGACTCCAAGGCCTGATGTTGGAAAAAGTATATGTAAACAAATTTCTTCTATAAGAAAAAAAAAAGGTACTTTTATTGTTTATAAAGTTTTAAGGGCGAAATTGCAAAATCAGTCCTTGGAGTCGCATCCACCACAGTGTAACGAATATATTAAAACCAGAATTAATAGAAAATATTGCTTCTTTGCTTCAATATCCTTGACAAAAATCATGCTAGCCTAATCGCCCTGTCCTCATCTCTCCTGCAATTGTTATATCGCCCTCTCTGTCCTTGTCACGGAGTTTCCTACTTTTTCCGCGACTGTCGCTCAAGTCAATTTGGAATTCTGTTCTGACTCCTGCGCACCCTTCAGTGATTTTGCCTGTTATCAGGGAGCGGTCTATCAGTCGCTATGTTTAGGAGCGAGAAATTTGTAAGCTTATCTGCTCACAGAGCGGCTTAGTGAGCGTTGTCCTTTCTGGATGTACCCCAAGGTTTTCTACGACGAGCGCCCTATATCACGCATGCATACATATGTACGTGTAGTAACAAATTGGTTTTTATTCGAAACAAATTAAATTACATTTAAATTACATCGTGAATTATGAAAACTTGAAACGATACCGTTTCAAGTATTCCAATTTCGTTTGGGGAGGGGTTTTAGTGTACCGAAAGTCGCACGTTTATTAACGAAACGAATTTGAGTCATAATCTCCCCACTCCAGAGAGACCGATACTATATTCTACGAATAATGGAGATGTGTTCGAGTTAATACGCAGGCGCATTATAAGAATGCGAGATTATAAATAAAGCACTAAACGACTATCGTGTGAAGTTGTCACGGTGCACTTGTCGCATGATGGCGCAACATGTTGACTGTTCAGGCAAACCGGCAGCTCTTTTATTATTTGTTTTTACGATATTCAACTTAGTATACGCTAATGCATTTACAGGAGTGAACTTGCTTGATAGTCCGAGTGTAGAATCAGTGAATGTCTTGAGCAGAGAACAATTTGGTTTACTACATCACCTGCATGTTAGTTCAAGTTTTCTGGTTGAAGTTTTTGGCACCGGCCTCGAGCGCAATGTTTCTTTGCGCTGGTCTCCTACATCCGACAATTGCGATCCGAATAACAAATTGAACGCGATCTGGATCGCACCGAATGGCAATCGCGCGATATATCAGTTCGTCCAAGTTCCCAATTTTAAGGTTACTACGATCTATTTCTGTCGAAGAATCGTTACCAGGTTCGACGAAACATGGACCAATCTTGGAAGCAGCTTTACTATCAATCCACCGTTGCAATCTCAGTAAGTTTAAAATACTCGATAATTTACTTAACTCTTAACACTGCCCAAATGAAATCCTTTTACTAATAATAGATATTCATTTTGTGACATGGCATAATTCTTTTTTTTAAGAGGATGAAAATACCGATGTTACCGACAGCAAGGATCTCATGCTACGAGATTACGATTATATACGTCAAATGTTTATTTTTTCTATGATGCAATGTAGGATTAACGCAGAATTTCCTTTATTAGATTTATTTTATTTACGTACTTAAACATTGAGTTACACATAACTTCGCTTAATAGATGGCTTATAAATAGATAAATACAAAAAAAATATCGTCGTAATTATTTATATATTTTTGCCAGCACATATGCTTGCAAAAGATTTAAATGTACCAGAAGCTTCGTTTAATTTATGTTGTTTCCACAAATGAGGAATATCTTATTTATACAGGAGTAAAATTTGAAAATAATAAAATGCATGTTTTATCTCATTAAAAATCTTAGTTAACAAATCAGTCGTTTTACATACACATTATGTATATCCAAAATAAATAATTACAGATTTCTCATTATTTAGCTTTCAATACTTTGTTTTACTATCTTTTTTTTATTTTGTAACTTTGACCTAGATATCTATATTTACATAAATCTATGAAAAGCATTTTATGTCATATATTGTTAACTATTTTTTCGAATAATAAAACAATCTTATTTCACTTTTTATGTCAAATGCATATTTTATTCTCAGAAATTATCTTCGTACACGCCGTGCCAATTCATTACCCACTGTCAACAATTTAGTAGACGAACAAGTCCATAAAGGAGTATTTATCGAAGGTTTGAGAATAGAAATAGCAGACAAGGATCCTAGTTATAGTGCAGATGGAATTCCTGAGTTGCTGGCTGGAAGCAAGGCAGTTATAAGATTATTTGGCTTTGGTATCACAGAAGATACTTTAATCACTTTCACAGATGAACGAGGAAAAAGGGGTCAAATTTGTGAGAAAATTAAAACAGATGAATTTCTAGTAAGTGTTTATGTTGTCTCCTATTTTATTTCATATGCAGACATGTGTACATACTTGATTAAAAATATGTGATTGCTATAGGTAAAGAATGTGAGGAACCATACTGCAACTATTGATGTGGTATTACCACTTGGTTCACCATTTTATGTGTGTGTAAAACAACCAATATATGGGAAGGAAGGCTCTGAACTTTTACTTTTTAAACATCAAGGTACTGAAACATGGATTACTGTAAGTAATATTTTTCGTTTGAAAACAAATAAAATATTAAAAATTCTTTCGTTTTATAATAATAAGAATTATTTACAGATTTATACATACGAGAAATTCTTGCCCCTTTGGCTTGGTATTGTAATTATTCTCATGTGCCTCAGTTTTTCAGCTCTGTTTTCTGGTCTAAACCTAGGGTTGATGGCAATGGATAGAACTGAATTAAAAATACTGTGTAATACTGGAACAGAGAAGGTAATTTCACTTATGTTGAATAAATTTAATTCTATATAATTTCATAACTTTTTGATCATATCTATATTAAAGGAAAAACAATATGCAAGGACAATACAACCAGTGAGGAATCATGGGAATTATTTGTTATGTTCAATTTTGTTCTCAAATGTCTTGGTGAATTCGATCTTTACTATATTGCTAGATGACTTGACTTCTGGATTAGTTGCTGTTATCTGCTCCACCTTGGCTATTGTAATTTTTGGTGAAATTTCACCACAGGTATGTTCATTTATAAAAATATATTTAATTTCTTATTTGTATATATTGTTTGTTATTAATCCACTGAACTGTAATTTCTTTTAGGCTATTTGCAGTAGGCATGGGTTGTGTATTGGCGCGAAAACAATTTATGTAACAAAATTGACCATGATATTGACATTTCCATTGAGCTATCCTATTAGCAAACTTTTAGACGTTCTACTTGGTGAAGAAATTGGCAATGTATATAATCGCGAACGTTTGAAGGAGCTTGTAAGGGTGAGATAAAAATCTATAGGATATTCTATTATTTTATACAATATATACTTAATACAGTTTTTATTTTTAACTGCAATTTTAAGTATATATAATGAAACACCTTTCTAAACTTTTTACCGTTATGAATCTTATCAGAATGAGCATGGGTAGGGCAGATAATTATACTGACATCCAAATTCAATCATATGTAGGTAAGATATAGATCTACTGACGTTTACTTCAAGTTCTCTTCTTAAAGTTTTCTACAGAGTACATGTTAGATTACTTATCAATGTGAAACTTAAATAAGATAACTTTACGTACTCGTACTGTGCTAATTGAAACTGAACTTATCGTTGAAATATATTTCTATAAGATACATGTGTTTATGTACACTGTGCGGGATAAAACTTGTCATAACGTCACAGATGCGCGAGTTTCATCGACGAAAATGCGATCCTTATTCAAATTCTGGGCGTGCGTAAGGGTAGATGTGCGGGAGACTGCGCAATCAATTCACCATTGTTGCTACGCATCATTCATATCTCGTTAAAGCGTTATTTAAATAGCAACGCACTCACAGCGTTTGATCGAGGGTTGAAAAATAATTTGAGTGCCATTCTTATATGATATAATAACATCGTTAAATATTTAGTATCACCTTATGAAAAATCATAACTATATCAGTGCCGCCCATCTTCACAGGTGACAACAGGGTATAACGATTTAGAAAAGGATGAAGTGAACATTATTGCTGGAGCATTGGAATTACGAAAGAAAACTGTTGCAGATATTATGACAAAAATTGAAGATGTGTACATGTTGGATTACAATGCTATTTTAGATTTTGAAACAGTATCGGAAATCATGAAATCCGGTACGTATTTTTTTTGTAAGAGTTAATTTATAATTTGTAAATGAATGATTGCAGTGTCTGTTATTATTAATTTTCAGGTTTCTCACGAATACCAGTATACGAAGGGACAAGGACGAACATAGTAACAATGCTTTATATTAAAGATCTTGCGTTTGTTGATCCAGATGATAACATGCCGCTTAAAACTTTGTGTCAATTCTATAAAAATCAATGCAACTTTATTTTTGAGGATGTTACATTAGATATAATGTTTAAACAATTTA